TTTAAATAAAAGATTTTGAATTAAGTTTTAGACATGTGCAATTATCTAGTAATTGCTTGGAAATGTGTGTTGGGGTAGAGATCTAGACCTAAAGAGCATAGTAATGATAGATGAAGAATTTACTCACAAAAGCACACAGAATAAATGAGGATCATGAAGTCTGACATGAAATGAACAAGAAGAGAAGGAAGTGCCATAGAAGAGGCACTGTTACTAGGGTAGGCACCTCTGGAATGAAGAGGCTTATGACCTATTTCAAAGTAAGATAAGAGAATTCTTTTATGGCCTACTTCAGGGGAGAAGCAAGGTTTGAGAGAGCTTTCTGCTTCAGTTGTTTTCCTAAGAGCTAAGGGCATATTCGGGAGGCATGTTCTTAACCTCATCATAAGTCTAGAGAGAATATCTGTGGTGAATATCAATGTTTAATGGCAGAGATGAAAGAGAAGACAATTAAGATTATTATTAATGTAATAAAAACCACTCTGGTTAATTTAAGGCAAAAAGAAGAAGAGCAATTGTTGGGCAATGGTGCCCAAACGGATTTATTTTTTGTGTCTCACCAAATCAACACAAAGCTATATAATCATTCATTCAGAGGAAAGGAACTGTGTGGCTTCAGTGGCCTCAGCCACCAAAATCCACAGAACATATATCTTCTCTTAGGAGGCTGAAATTAACTTGATTGATCTATTGTCAGTGATTCCCTGCCCTTGCCTTTGGTCCCATCCTCAAAATTTATTTAGACGATCTAACATCATCAGATGGTGTAACTCTCAAGCAATTAGTTATAACCAGAAAAGCTAGGTCCTATAACACAAAAATATGCTTTCATTTTATATGCACATGTTGTGTATCAAAGTTAAAAAAAAAAAAAAAACATGTTGTGAGCTGACCAGCTACCCAGTTTTATCTCTTACCAGGAGCCTGTGAGTAAATGGTGTGAGACAAGAAGAGAACTAGAAGTATTGTCAAGACAGGAGACAATTTCAAGGAATGAGTTCCTTCCACTAGACTATGTATGATATAATAGGAGCTGAAAAATATTCTGGTCAGTTTCATTTTAAGGGTATAGGCAGAAACCTGATTTTCTGGACTGATAATCAGTAATAATATTGGATTAGGATATATAGACTGCTATTTTGAGAAACTAGAATATGAAGGGAAGGGAGGAGATGGTCCCAGAGAGGGGCTGCTATTTCTAATAAGAATCTTGAACATGTTTATAATCATTTGAAAGGAATATTGATGATACAAGATTAGTGACAATTTGTGAAGCGAAACCTTGGAAGTCATAAAAGGGTATTGCCAAGGATAGATTTTAATCATTAAGTTAGTGTTAAGCTAGTTAATATTACCAATAGTTTAATATTACCATACTAAAAGACTAGCTAATTAATAGTATTAGCATTTTAAGAGAACTTCTTATACTCTTGGAATGTATTTTAAGAATCCTAAATTTATTAGAAGGAACTCATTTTGATACAAAGTATGTCCTACATTCAAAGTACTATCTATTTATTGAAATAGAATTCCTTAAAAATGCATTTGGCATGTCATAGCTATGTTTGTGATTATTCTCAGTCAATGCATAATATGCTGCCTTTTTAAAAGTGCTTCATAACTTTCTACCAATATACATAAATTTGTTCCCTATATTGATGAGGTTTTACTATGCTTAAAAATTCATTAGTTAATCATTAACCTTATGGCTGGTGACATTATTTAGTTCCAATCTCAAAATATATAATAATTTTGCATCTTTGAAATCATGTGAAATGTATGAGTGCCAAGTTATAAAAGAATGATAAATTAAAATTTATTTTCACATTATCTTGGTTTCACTGTTCTACTAAAGCAGAGATGGCTAGGATTGCATATTGAAGATTATAAAGGGTTATTAAAATGAAGATATTTTCTAAAAAGAGAATTGCATTGAAAAGAAAGCATTGTCATATTTGGTGAGAAAATCATATGACAATTAATTCTGTTTGCTTGTCAAGCTACAATAGTGTATTCTGACTGATCCTGTCAATTTCTACTTCATATGCACACATATATAAATCATTAATAGAGGAGTTACAATGAAATATCTTATATTTTAAAAAGGTGACTTTTAATAGCTGTAGAATGTTAATGTATTATCAAATTTATATTGGTATTATAAGCCATATAATAATAGTAATCAGGAGTTACATACTTATTAGCAAAAAGCATAGCAATCTATGAAGGAAAATCTATTATGTGGATGAGAGGTGAGAATATAAATTGAATAGAAAAACACATTCTTTGTTTCCTAACATGATACCTCAACATATATTTTAAATTACTATCAACAAATTGAGTTCCATTTGAATCTTTTTTTCCTGTCTTTTGGGGAAGCTAAAACATTAAAATTTCAATGCCCAAGTAATTAATGAAAAGAAAGATTTCTGGTAATTCTATACTATCAGAGAAGTAGATCTAGCCTTTTAAAAAAGATATTCTTATCTTGCTTTGTTTGGGATTATTTTTCTTTGCAATTATGTAGGTTTTATAATAAAGGATATTTATGATGGTTCTAGTGAATGCTGTCAAATATATGTGGCAAAAGACAAATTAACATTTATTAGAAGTGAAATAATAATTCTTAAGTGTAAGTCTATCCTGAGAGGTAGTTGTTTATAGCATTGTGATTAAGGTTAACATTTGTATTCTGAATCCTAACCGTGTCACTTCTGATCTAAGTGACCTTGAGCAAGTCATGAACCTTTCTGTGCCTCAGTTTCTACATCTTTAATATAGAGATTATAATAATGCCTATCCCTTAGCATTACCTTAAGAATTAAATGAGTTCATTTAACATAAAATACTTAGAACAGTGCCTGGGCTAGCTGTTGTTATCATTAATCTTGTTGTTTAACCATCATAACTTTAATTCATGTCTCTAAGAATGTACTCACTGAATTAAAATTTTCATGATTTTTTAAAATTAAATTTTGATTAATGTAATGTTAGTAGGACTCTGTGAATGATATAGAAGAAATATTTGTGACTAGATATGGATGGAAAAGTAACAATAGCCTGGCCAAAAGAAAAGGCTGGTCCAGGTGTAAGAATGATAGCCTGAGCAAAATTTGTATTTATTTTGCTATTTTATCAAACCAGCAGTACAAAGCATATTCAGCAATATGAAGAATGATAGAAATGATATAAGAATACAAAGAATAATAGATCAAGGATACCTGATGGCTTCTGTAGATCTGATTTCTTTTCCTTGTGAAGGCATGAGTCACTTGACCTCAGACAACTTTTGTTGAGTAAAGAGTGCCCAGTCAAGAGTTCAGACACATGGGACAGCTGTTTTTTAGAATATTTTAGGGAGCTTGGAGATTGGCATTTGTATAAAAAGTAAAATATAAAAAGTTGGCATTTGTATAATATAATAACTTGCTGCCTCATATTTCTTCTTTTCACATATTATTTCTTGCTAAGCAATAGATTCTTCTTTAGTTTTCTATGTGACAGGCCTGGGTAAGGGAAAAGAGAAACTTAAAAATGGTTATGTAGCCAGGCATGGTGGTGTGCCTTGACTCTCAGTCATTTGGGAGACTGAGGCCGAAGGATAGCTTGAACCCAGGGGTTTGAGACCAACCTGAGCAATATAGTGAGACTCCCATCTCAAAAAGAAAAAAAAAAAAAAAGGATAGGGGATTCTGTGAAAAATAATGGTATCAATAAACAAAATAGTCTCGTCCATTGAGAGCTGATTTGAATTAGGCAAAAATTGGGCGTTCTCCCACCATTTCTTACAGAATATAATGAATTTATAGCTTAAAGAAACCATAGGGTCTAATAATTCTGTTCACCTCATTCTATAAGTGAGGAACATGAGCTGCCTTCTTACAGAGAGATTGACTTACCCAACCTCTACATAGAGATTCAGAACCAAGATGAAGACTCAAATCTGATTTTTGGAATCAATGGCATTTAGAGTTAAATGTGGTTTTTTATAGTGCAACATTGAAATTTGTTCAGTTGTATATGGAACATATAGTTATTTTTAATTAGTTAGAATACACTATTACTTTATTGTGCTCATTAACAGTGTTTATTCTGTTTTAGACACTGATATTGAATGGTAGGACTTTATGTGATCCAGAGGAGATGGACACATTAATTTCACAGTGTGTCAACAGATTTCAGAAGGCATGTAAACCTCCTTCCTGGGATTTTGTACAGAAAAGAAATTATGTGGTCCTAATATTTCTCCTTTTCATACTTAATTTTAGTGTGAATTACATCCAAGTGGTTTTTCTTCCTTCTTTCACTCTTTTAAAGCACATATTGGTTTGTCAATATAGAATAATGGCATTTTCTGAAGTTTTATTGTTGAAGAGACAAAGAGAAATGCAAAATAAGGATTCTGACCATTTTATGAATCTAAATAAAGAAAGAGTGTAAGATAGGCATTATATTAAAATATAGCAAAGGGCAACTGAGATTTCAAAATTAATTTTGTGGGATTTCCTTTGATTACATATAGGCCTTGAACCTTCAATTTTCTTGCCTCAGCTTCTCATCAGGTTTTTTCTTATTCTATCACAAAGTATCTGTGATACTTTGGCTTTTTGGGTAGGTATGTTTTATTGTAATATTTTCTGGCAGTGTTGAGAATACATTCATATTTTCTTACAGTTGCTATTCTTGGGAATTTATAACTCAATGGTTATAATTTGACAAGGATTGAAATTTAATCCACATATGTTTGACTTAGATATAATTCTTTAAGCTTAACTCTTTAATAATTTTAAAAGGCAATGATTCATATTATATTAGCAGTTAATATTTGTTTAAAATATTATGTGCTTTTTTAATCTTATAAAAAATGATCAGAAACAAAGCAATATTGTGGAACGACAATTTAATAGTTATTATACTTTGAACAATTATGACTTTAATTTTTGATTTATTTTTTTTAAAGAGAGAGAGAGAAATTTAATATTTTATTTTATTTTTTTTAGTTTTCGGCAGACACAACATCTTTGTTTGTATGTGGTGCTGAGGATTGAACCGCGGCCGCACGCGTGCCAGGCAAGCTCGCTACCGCTTGAACCACATCTCCACCCCTTGATTGATTATTGATTAGGATGAGGTTTTTTAATATCAAATTATGATTACCTTCCTGATGACAAATCAATAGTTCCAAGTACAGGAACCAAACAGACTATAAAGCTATATCTTAACCTATAGCCTTACATGCTTTCACATTTTCCCCCTAAATATTTAAAAAAGTAGTTTCATTGTTGTGAAATACCACTGAAGAATTGCCAAACCTCATTTTGTCCCTCATTAATTTACTTTACTGTCATTGAGGACATAGTTATCTTTTATTTATCAGATAATAGTGATTGATTGGTGCCTAGACCCCAGGCCCACTTTAGTGCATGATGAACCACTACAATCCTCATGTGAAGACTTCCATATTTAAACATTAGAATAATCTACATTCAGCCTTCCCTGCTTTATTTCTCACATTGGTCCTCTGCATCCCTATCCACTCAAGCTAATTTTCCCATCATGTTAATTCTATTTTACACATCAGGTTTTTCTTTTTCTTTTCTTCCTTGTTCCCCTATCTTCCCCCTCTCTTTTGTTTATTTGTTGTTTGGTCCCAGAGATTAAACCCAAGGATACTTTACTACTGAGATATTGCCCCAACTCTTTTTATTTTTTATTTTGAGACACAGTCTCACTAAGTTGCCTAGGGCCTTGCTAAATTGCTGAGGCTGGCCTTGAACTTTCAGTTTCCTTGCCTCAGCTTCTCATCAGGTTTTTTCTTATTCTGTCACAAAGTACCTTAATCTTGCTGCCTTAAGGTAACTGTGGCCTTTTTTTTTTTTTTTTTTTGGTCCTTTATCACCTTTAAACCTTATATAGACGTGGAAGCATCACAAATCTAGGCAGCTTACATGAACACTCTAAACCATTTTTATTCTAATACCTTATTATTCTTATCAAATGGCATTCTCCTTGTTGATTCTTTGTATTAATTGACTATTTTTCATACTGAGGTTAGATAGAAAAACATTACAACCATGTACACAGACAATCCTTAACAAGCTGGGGTATAGTTCAGTTGGTAGAATGCTTGCCTTGCACAAATGAAAGAATGAGGGAGAGAGAGAGAGAGAGAGAGAGAGAGAGAGAGAGAGAGAGAGAGGAATTCTTAAAAACCACATCACCCTCACCTTAATTCCTAGTGAAAAAACATGCAATGAAGTGTTTATGAACACCTCAAAGAACCAGAGCATTCATTGACAGCTACCTATATGCTTGTTATATGCAACTGTTTTCTTAAAATTTTTTTAGTCATTTTCTATGACAAGTTTTGGGAACATTTCTTCTGACAATCTTTATACATCTTGAAAACACTGGATGTTGCACCTTGGGCCAACACCCTGCAGCCATAATGTCTTCCCTCTTTAACAGCTGCATGGAAAAACAGGTATAGGTAAAAATTTTAGGTGACCTCTTCACATCTTTAATAATTCCTTAAATGTTAGTTAGTTTGATCATTAATTTTTCTGGAATATCTTGCCTGTAGCTAAAATTGATACTTTTTTACTGTCTCTACTATTATCAGAACTCAGAACTATTTTAATGAATAAATAAGTCTTTAGCTACAAGGACAGCATAAAGTGATAAAGTAAAGATACAGAGCAAGACTGAGGTACAGACTCAAGGCTATAGGCCTTGCCTCTCAATCTCCACCTGCCCAGTTTCACTTAGCATTTTTCAGTACATGTATGTGATTACTTGTCTTGGATCTTAAAATATATTACCACATAGTCCAAACTGAATGCTAAATCTAAAAGTCCTAATGGTCTAATTTTTAGAATTTTGTCATTTTAAAAATATTCTTGAATATTTTTATGTTATACTAGGGAAATAATGTTTAAAATTAAATTTGAAACTGGGCAGTTTGGTGCATGTCTTTAATCCCAGCTACTCAGGAAGCCGAGGCAGAAGAATCAATAAGTTTAAGGCCAGCCTGGGCAACTTAGTAAGAACCGTCTTAAAAAAATAAAGGTGGGGGGGCATGACTTGGGGTTGTAGCTCAGTAGTAGAGTACACCTCAGTTCAATTGCCAATACTAAAAAAAAAAGTGTTTTTTTTTTAACTCCAGTAATCAATATTATACAAAAATACAGTTCTAACTTTAAAGTAGACAATAATATTTAAATTCTATGAAACAAATACAAGCCAGGCACAGTGACAGAGGCCGGTAGTCCCAGCAACTCAGGAGGCTAAGGCAGGAGGATCATCAGTTTAAGGTCAGCCTCAGCAACTTAGCAAGGCCCTACATAACTTAGCAAGACCCTGTCTCAAAATAAAAAATAAAAATTACTGGAGATATAGCTCAGTGGTAAAGCATCCCTGGGTTCAATCCCCAGTACCCATTAGTAATAATTATTTAAATATTTATTTATTTAAATAAATATATTACAAATTGAAATTAAAATTTATATATAGTTGAGCCTCATGTTGAAGAGAAAAGCAAAACAGATTACATCTATAGACAGGTAATCACTAGACTATATTCACAAGAATTTCTTGTAGAATCAATCTTGGCATTCTAATTGGGAATTATGACTTCATATAATTTAATGTTACATTTACTTTGCTTGCATTAGCGT